ACAAGTTGGTTGCTCAGTACGATGTCTCGGGTGAGGACCGCCGGAGCCTGCATCATGGTCAGTGTTTCGTCCGGAGATTCTAGAAATAAACCACTAAAACCATATGAGCCTGAAGCCCGAAGTCTTCCACACGTTGGAACAAACGTCTCGAGTAAACATGCTAAAGGCCCCGAAAGCCCTACACCCCAAAACCCTCAAGCCCTACAAAGGCCCAAAGCCCCAAAACCAAAAGCATGTGGTTTCTGGGCAGGAGCTGAGTTCGAAGGCCGTCGACGCCCGACTTCGGCGAATGTGCGAGGAGAAGAAGAAGACAGGGAAGTGTGCGGTTGATGCATGGATAAGGGAGTTGTGGCAAAAGGGGGGGGCTGATAGGGAAGTCTTGCACCTCAGCCTGCTCGAATCCCTCAAAGCCCATGGCACCACGAACAACCTGGCGACAAGAAACAAGATCAAGGCCTCCTCTTTCCAAACTTTGCAAACAGATGTGGTGCCTTTGTGCGATCTGTCTCCTATGTGTGTGTGTGCCCCCCCTGTCCAGGCTACCTTCGTGCAGAAGATGACTGTGCGGATCAAGACCAAAGAGAAAACCATCACTGGTTGTTGGTTGACCAAAGAAAGGATGAAGACCGACCTCAAGCTGCCCGAGTACCCCTGCCCGATATAGGGTTTTGGCTTGGGGTTCATGAAGTTGAGGTGACTAAAATTCGGTTGACTAAACCCCATAAAGCCAAGGCACCTCATCACGAAGATCATCCAGTACTGCCGTCGGTTTCCTCAGACATTGGTCAGGCCAGGCTGTTGCTACTGCATGTGTACCGTGCTTGTAGAACAGTTACATGTCCATACTTCCACGTTCGGTGCCCGGCAGAAAATGGAAATATGACGACAGCATAGAGGAATACTTCGTCGATACCAGTGAGACGACCACTGTGAAACAAAGCGAGATTCACGAAAGCCGCGAGGTGAAGGATGCAGTTGCTTAGCTAGAATGTAATCCGCCGATCACGTGCATAGGCCATGCTATATCTGTGTAAAATGTTCTTGCTCGGCCCAGGAAGAGGATCCTGGCACTGAGGCCGAAGAGTTTCAGGATGATGGTGGGCTGACGATTGATGCCTTGAAAAGGAAGGCAACCAACGCTTCCCTTGCAGAGGGTATTGGCCCTGCCGAGCAGGCCAGCACGTTTTGCCTATTGTTAAGAGTGATGGTGTAGCTCCTATCTCCTGGCAGGCCCGCGACGAGGCGAACAAGCACCTCAACAATTTGACCCAGAAGAACTTGCAAGTCTCGGCTTGGCTGTCACAGCTGCAGGGCAAAAGCACCGACCATGTGGAACAGCTACTTGCTTCAATACAGAAGTCGTTGCACTACCCGTGTACATTCCTGACAAGCCAAGGTTCAAGAAGTCTTGTGCTACGATCTCGACCGCACTCGAGGCCCAGACCGAGGAGATAGCAGAATGTATTGAAGCTATCGACACCGATGGCTACACGCCCGAGTTCCTTTATCAGCAAATCAAAAGGTATCCCTCAACAGCCTCAGCAGCCCTCACACCCTTTCAGTCCGTGGCCTGTTCTGCTAAGGCTGCAAACAAGGATCACCAAGTGCAAGAGTGCTGCACGTGGACCGCCGCACGGAAGCAGAACAGCGGGTCGCAATGCAGCCTGGGTTGCAAGTGTGCAACAATCTTAGGTGTGCGAAGATGCTGGCGAAGGAGAGTTCCTTCAAGTGCCTTGATGCATGATATGTTCCTATAGGGGCTGCCCCCTTGATCTACGTGTGTGCTGCATGGCTATACAGTCTGATACACTCAGGATGATTCTTGCTGAGCACAAGAAGCACATTGCCGAGACGGAACCAAAGCCGAAGGCCAAGCCAAAGTCTGCAGGCAGGAAGGGCAAACGCCCCTCGGAGTCGGAGCTGGCAGAGGATGAGGCCCCGGAGCAGAAATCCCAAAAGGGCAAGCGACCCCGGGGCTCCAAGAAGTGAGCCACTCACTGCTGAAAGCAGAGTATGTGCTTGGACTTCGTTTTGTGTCAGAAGTCCGAAGATTCTAGCTGGCTCGTGTCGGGGACGTGAGCATGTCTGCTGGGCTGTCAAAAGATCCGAACACACTCAGAGTACACAGGGCATTAGTTTGCACCGAATTCCCAATCCCATTGACGAGCAGCCAGGTCCCTCGCCGGTTGCCCGAAATTTGGCATCGCAGATCAGCTCGGGTGCTCCTGCCTCAATCGGACTGGAGATGGGTCGCACGATGCACTGCCGAATCTTATAAGTCATGGCCCCTGCAAGTTAAGGTTCCGTGCCGAAGGGTTTTGGAGACTGCTCGATCTGTTGCGGCTAGAGATGAGCTGCTGGGCATCCACACTTCAGACCCTGTCATCAAGAAGTTGGCTAAAGCACGTGAAACACATTCTGTGGCTCGGAAACACTGCTTCCTTATTGGGCGCTTTTTTTATGTTCCGTGTAGTTCGAGAACCGTAGCATGCCATGACGAAATCTTCGAGTTGCATCTGCCAGGCTAGAGCCGCCTATGGGACAATGCGACAGCATGGCCTTTCCTTGCCGGTGACAATTTCGAGAGGCAGTGCTGGAGATTTCAAGCAATATCCGTTCATCAAGCCGAGCGACTTCATCCGCTGTATGGATATCACCAACAGTTTGAAAATGATCTTTGGGACTTCTTGCATTGAAACCATTGAGCCTGCTTTGCATGTTTTTTGGTCTCGCTACCGGGCTATATGCCCGAACCACGACCTGTTCAAAATGGCGGATTCCCAACAGCTGGTGCTATCTAGGACACTTCCATACTTTATGCACGCCGATGAAGGGAGAACCTTGAAGAAAAAAGCAGTCTTTCTGATGCAGTGGCAAGTGGCTTTCGGGAAAGGAGTTGGGAACCGACGATCTGCAGAAGAAATCAACAAGAAGCTTGCCGAGCTGAACTTGCAACCGAATTACAAAGGCAACTCGCTAGGCACCCGCTTCCTCGCAGCCATGATGCTTCGATCGGATTACCAGGACGCACCGGAGAGGCTCGAGGAACTGCTTGAGCATGTGGTCACTGACCTCGCCAGCCTTGGGCGAGAAGGGATCGAGACTTCTCAAGGGCGAATATGGTTGGCTCCACTAGGTAACAAAGGCGATTGGTCTTATTTGGTGGATATCGCGAACTTGAACAGATCATACAGGAATGGTCCTAAAGGTCCAAAATCGGCACAGCCGAACCATGGAGTCTGTCATCTTTGCTATGCTGGGTATGAGAACTACCCATACGAGGATGTGCAACTTGTGCCCACTTCTGCATCAGTTTTGCTTTGGTTCTGACGAATGATGTAGCTGCTAGGGTATTGGTTCATCCCCAGAAAACGTGGCAAACCTAACAGGAGTTCCTCCCCGGCCTTCCTCAGCACTATGCCGTCGCCTACATTGCCTTGGACCCGCGAAGCCTGTTTCACTCGACTCCTTATGTGCGACCAATTGGATAAGCCTGGTTTTCACCGCCCAGACCTGTGGCACAACATGCAATTGGGCATTGCCAAAGCCTTTGCTGCCAACGCCCTCGTGACACTGATGGGTGATTTCTTCCCTGCCTCGAGTGTGGATTTACAACTACAAGCCATGACGACAGATTTTCTGAAGTACTGCAAGGACCCTTGAACTAATGTCGTAAACTTTTTGAGCTTTATAACGATAGTGTACCAGAGTTAAATCGTTCGTCAGGACACGAAACAAATGCCGTACATCCAAAAGATCTCCAAAGACACCTTAGGGTGTCACAGTTCAAACGAGATGCCGGACGGCCATTGGCACAAGGGGTCGACCACCACCGTCATGTGCCGTTATGTTGAGCATCTGACTTCCACACGTCCGGATCTTGTTGCTGGGGTGGAAGTTGCAGAACTTATTGATTCTAGGCTTCCCCAGATATGGTAACCTTTTATGATATGTAATTGTTGAGGCCTTGTGCGGTTTTTGATCATGTTGCAACAATTGCAAAAAGGCAGCGGCTGCGAAAACGATGAACCGTGCGATGTCGACACTTTACAACTCCGATGTCTGGATGAGTGCATCGGAAGCAAGCCGGGTTTCGGACCTGGGCCTCTATTTCTTGAGGGCCTATGTACGGCTAGCCTGGATTCACTACGACCGGAACGAACCACGTTTCCCGCTTTACACGAAGCTACACATGGTGTTTCATACTTTCTATAGCATGAACGAGCAATCTCGGAGGATCTCCTGGCTGCTGAACCCCGTCATTGAAGCATGCCCGCAAGATGAAGACTTCGTTGGAAAAATATCGAGGACGTCCAGACGAGTGGGGACTCGCAAGATTGTCGAATCGGCCCTCCAGAGATACTTGATTCAGTGTCACCAAGTGTGGTTCGAAGGCCACTGATCGATCGAGCATTGGGGTTTCGAGAAAAGGTGGGAGCATCAGCAGCAAATCTTGCAATCACGTTCATTGGAAAAACCACAACCCCAACAAAAAGCGTAGACACCCAATTTTAAGCGTACCTGTCTAAAGACCTGAACTAATCCCTAGGGTTTTCCAGCAACCCTAGAGAACAACCGCCCAAGGGTTCCTCTGGTAAGCCCTAAACCCTAAAGGCCTACCTGAACCTTCCAAAAACCTACTTTTTTGTAGGTCCTTGTTACAAAGCCCGAATATTGAAGTTATAGGGACCCTACAAAAAAGTAGTTTGTGGCATGTAGGTTCAGGTAGGGTGTAGGGTTAAGTGAGGGTTCAGGGTGAACCAGCAGACAAGGTTTCTTTTGGAAGGCTTTGCTTGGGGAGATGCCTGCTTCCACTGGGCTTCCATAAGACTTCCTCTAAGGCTCGAAGGGTTCATATGAAGGTTCTGTACTGAGTTTTTTGTTTGGGAGGTGTTGCGAACTGTCTTGTGTAGCTGTTTGGTTTAGGAGTTGGGAGCGGCGAGGGGCCGTGACTTTGGAGTGCGATAGTGTTCCAGGAACAACCCGAAACCCCAAGTCAGGAATGTGCTGCCTTGCCTTCATGATCACCAAGCTGTGGTTTGTGATTCTAGGTGGCAATTTGGGAAACTTTTTAATTTCCCTTATGGTTCCTATAGAGGTACCTATTCGTAAATATTTTTCAGAGCCCAGAAACTACAACCCAGGATTACTCTGCTTGACTTCATTGTCGGCTTACAGCCTCTCCGCCTGCACTTCCTGGTTAACGTTTTAGGGTTTAGGGGTTTAGGGGTCTAGCGGTTTAGGGGTTTTGCGGGTGTAGGATTTAGGGGGTTGGGTTTACTATTGGGATCCAGATAGAACAGGGTTCCCAACACCAGCCAGCATTGGTTACTCGGTTAGGTTGGCCGGCGCTTGTTTAAGTGGTTTGTGTATGGAAGCAAAGTTCCTGCAGTGGGGATGTACGTAGTGGCGATGGCTCAGAAGCGAGACTTGGTTTGTGTCTCATTGCCTTCGGTCGGCCGGTTGGCGGTATCGTGTTGGTTCTGAATTTTCCTGCACAGATTTCGCCGGGCGTCCTCCGCTCAAAGCCCTTAGCCCTAGACCTTTAACCCAAAAACCCTCATCTCCAAATCAAGCCTGAACCCCAGAAGAACCATCATAGATCCCTTAAAGGAACCCTTAAATAAAGGAACCCCTAAACTACGAAAAACCCTGAGCCTGAAACTCTCAACAGTAAGCCCTACAATACAAACTCTCTCAGGTGGCGCTTCCCCCTTTTTTTGTGGTCTCAGGTTCCTTATAACACTCCCGAGTGCCAAAAGGGGAGCCCTTTTCATCCCGAGGTTGCTCGGGAACCTAGACCCTAAAGCTGAAACCCTACCTATAGTCTCCATTGTAGTTCCTTTTGTTGTTTTAACCAATCATAAAATAAGGATCCTATAAGGTAACCCCAAAAAGGAACTACAATGGAGACTATAGGTAAACTCCGAACAAGCCTCAACCTGCACCCCTAGACCGTACAAACTCTAAATCAGAAGCCCCTATAGACCCTAAAGCCCGAATTCTAAACCCCTAAGCCGCACAAGCTCTATACCTGAAACCCCTAAACCCTGAAACCTAAGCCTCTAAACGGCGCTGCCCAACCAAGTTACCATGCAATGCGGGCTTCGTCCTTGCTAGGTAGGAGGGGAAAAAAACCACGCAAACTCTCAGGCATGGCATCCTCATGTTCCTTTTTTAAGGAACCATATATAGAAACCATAATAAGGAACCCTAAAGAGGTAGGTCTTTCCGGCTACAGGTATGGCATCCTCATGTTCGACTCTGCCGGACCCGGAAGATGGGCGCTGATCAGCTGTCGACTCTTCATGTACAGCTTCAGTCTGGGCCAACTGCTCCTTTCCTAAGGGTCCAAAGCAGCCCAAAAATGAGGTACTTGGGTTTAGGATAGTAGATATGTAGGATGAATATTTGGGAGAGTATATGACTGCTGGGTACTTGGATTTGAGGGCTTATCCGGAATCCAGTACCAAGCATTTCTAGCGGTCTTCAGTTTTGGAATTACCGGGTCTTAGCCTTAACTGCAACCTCACGGGCATAGCAGGTTTGAGCTTCAACTGCAACCTCACAAGAACCGTCTTCCTTGTCCACAGTGTTCAGAGGGTGTTTAGCTGCAGCAGCTCCTTCTCAGGTTCACTAGGCTTTAGGATCTCCAAGGTGTTGTTTTCTTGGAGCATTGGTTTGGGTTTTCGGGTTTGAGGGGTTAAGTTTAGGGTTTGTGTTGGGCTTTGGGGTTTCCGGTTTTGACTCAGGGGCTTTACGTAGGAATGGAGACCTCTGGTGAATAAATGCCCCTCCCTGGATTAGAAGGCGGATCTGCAGACTTTTATAAAAAGAAAGTGATAAAGCATCATAAAGCCCTACATATATGCACCCTTATGGTTCTAGCATCCTTGTAGCATCCTAGACCCTGCACTACAAGACGGACGGGGGTTGGCCGTTCCGGTAGTTATGGGTTCGCCATGGTCTGTGGGGCTTAAGAAGGCTTCTCTAAGGTGTTGGAGACTGTAGTTTGTAGAGGTTTCATTAAAGGTTCGGCTGGCATCGTAGCCGTTGGTTTAGGGGATTGTTTCGGGGCTTTGGCTTCAGCTTCGTCAAAAGAAAGGTTCATCAAGCACACCGCGCAGATCGCCAAAGCATACAAGGAGCAGCGCACCCTACGATGCTTCAGAGGATTGAAGCTACCCTCTTATCTTCTGTCTTCCAGGCAGGTCTACCGTGTATATAGCCCACCTTTTAGGATCGTTCAGGGTGAATTTCGGGTTTTAGGGTGTAGGATTACTGTATCGGTTCCTAGGCTACGTTTAAGTAAGGCCATAGTAAGGGTTTCTACAGTGAGGACTAGGATAAGTAAAAATGTCTGTCTACCAGGCAGGAGTTTGTGGAGTTCATGCTGGCAGTTTTTTTGTTTGTCATGCTGACGATGGAGCCCTTCCTGCATTGCCTGAATGTTGATGACCGATTCGTCACCAACTGTTGCGAGCATGGCGAGTTCTACTGCGCGCTGTCGGACAACTACGATCGCATCTCAACGGTTCCGATGCTGTTGTACTTCGTCCTGGCCGCAGACCTCATCCATCTCAATATTCATCTGTCCAGCTTCGTCGTCATTTGTACGCGCCTGGATGCATTTGGTCAGCACGTCTGAATCCCCAATGCGCAAAACAAGCAATCAAGAGACCCGGCGCTCATGGGCGTCGCATCACAACGTGCTTGCTTTAGCGTAGTTGGCTGCAGACGTGAAAGCCCAAGAAATTATCTCTTGGCGAAAATCGTTCCATCTTGGCGTTTGGATTTCATCTTTTAGTTCGTATGCAAACTGCTCACATCAGCCCTGGTCCATTGAATATGTTTTCTCGAAAATGATGCTAAGGAGTCTTTGGTGGGAGTTTGTACTGTACTTGGGGGCATTGGTCTTTTTGGCCACCGCCTTTGCCAGTGCCATCGCCTGCTTGCCACAAACAGGCGAGAGTTTGGCGGAGTTTGAAAGATGTTCTTAGCTTCGCTGTCTTGTGGGAGTAGGTCTATTGCTTGCAACAGTGGCTTGCAGACGAGTCCATATATCTGAGCTCAGGGCTACAGGGCTTCGGGGGCATTACAAAGTATGCACAGGGGTTGCCTTGCCTGCGGATTTAGGCCGGAAAAGAAACTAAAGAATAATAACAAAAAGGCGTAGATAATGACAACAGTATCCATCTTTGCGCAGGTGGAAGCCATTGGGTGTTGGGGCCCGGAATATGGATGCCAAACCCTCGACCTTGAGAATCGAAGCCGTTACAGCCATATGCACCCTAGCAATTTCTAGGCTCTTTAAACACCGAACCCGAAGTCCTGAACGCCGAAGCCCGAAATGTGTCTTCAAGCCTAAACCGACAATCCTGCCAAACGCTAACCCTGAAGCCACCATGAGAGGGCCCGACGACAGCGTTCAGCTTCGTGACTTCTACCATTGGCCGAAGCTGGGCATGATCGGTGTTGGCGGGGATTACCAGGATCAGCCGATGTAGACTGTTTGTTTTCGGAGTGTAACAATGTTAATTCCCGCATATGCTGCGAGGAACTTATTCAACTTATTCTTGGGAGTCCTTACAGCTTGAAACCGCATGAGCGGGATGACTACTTCCGAGCTAGTCTCACGCATCTGTTGATGGCCTCCGGCTTATTGACCTCCAACCCTGAAAGCATCGATCGCAGAGGCCTTGCCAAGCTTTGAGAAAATGGCTGGAAAGCCCTAAGCCCCAAAGGCTGGAAACCTGGGCACCCTAGAGTCCAAGATATAGACAAGCCGATAATGCCTTTATGACTTACACGCTTTAGAGCCGCATCCTATACAAGCAATCCCGGAGGAAGCTCAAGAATTTGTGGGCGGCAAGATCCGAATCGTAAGAGTCTATGTGCCCAAACAGTATTTACTTCAGCCTTGTAGTAGCCGCTATATGAATACTTTGGTGCCGAAGTCTATTCTATTTGGGTACATGAACCTGAGGGTAAGCTAGCTCCAAGTAGACCCAATATCGATTTCTAGTTGTAAAGCTGCTCGAATAATTGCTAGTGACATTCCCTGGCAGTAAAGGCTTTTAGGGTTTAGGGTTGGGGTTGTGAGGGTTACGTGTATATTTCGGGCTACGGGGCTCCTGACCTTACATGTCGCTTGCCGCTCAAGCCCTAAAGCCCTGCGAGTCACGGCTAGCAAGGTCTGCCTTCCAGTCGCTCCTCTCCATGTCGCTGAACATGTGCCCTGCCTTTCAAAGCTCAGGGTGCTGAATGGCTTAGGGGTGGGACGGACGCTCTTTCAGCCAGACGTCTGCGCAGTTTGCCCTGGGCCTGGGAAATACTGGTAAACTTGGAGGTTCATGGGTAGTTATAGGTAGGGTCATAAGTAGGGTAATTATACTTATAACCCAGATGAAGGACTTATAACTTATAACCCTACTTGTTACTACCCCTATCACCCAGATCAAGGGACTTGTAACCCTCCTATAACTACCCCTGAACCTCCAAGGAAGGGCAGGTATGGAAGGATCGGATCCCAACACTAAGCAGCAGCTGCACTGGTACACTGTACACCCCATATGAACCGTGCGAAGCAGATGGGGTGCTGCGAGAATCTTCAGGCAGGGAGTCTTTATTGTGTTTAGGTTTCGGAGTTGACGGCTTTGGATTAAGATAGACCCTGATTGATCAACTCCCTTCTAATGGCTTCAATATTATCAGCGAGTGCTCAGGATTTATTGACGGAGGGGAGTGCATGAAGCCGATGTCAGGGGTCTACATAACCACGAAAGCCTAACCGTGGACACTTTTAGACATAGGAGTGAGTTCAGCGCTTCGGTTCATGTCAGACAACCGACCTCGCCCAACATGTCATGACCAGCTCAGTCTAGTAGGTTCAGGATCCTAGTAATTCCCTAAGGGTCCATGTACCCATACAGAGATACATGAGCCCCAAAGTACCTATATAGGGACTACATAAAGCCCAATGTATATACTATATGAATACATGGACCCTTAGGGATTACTAGAGTAAGGAACCTATTTATAGACTTCTTGGGCAATACAAACCCTGTACAATCTCAAGGGTGAACCTGTAAATCCCCTCAGACAAATGGATAAGTAAGGGCTTGAACCTGATTGGCCGCATGGTGTGGCTCAGAGTTTAGGCTTCGGGGGGAGCTGGCATACTGGGACAATCTGGGGATAGCACGCACCATTGCAAATGGGCGCTCTCCACCTGAAGGATATGGCGAAACATTTGTTGTTTCGTAGCCGTCATGATAGAGAAATGCGTATGTATACATATATATATATATATACATATATATATATGCATATATTTAAAAATAGTTTCAAGGTGCAATCGAGTCTGGGGTTTGGTGCAGAGTGTGCTGTTCTGGCAAAGGCAAGCGCCCACTGCCAGAGTGAGAGTTGCTAAGCCGTAATGCTTATAAAGCCCCAAGACTCTCAGCCCTATTTCAGTCAACGGCCAAATGAAACTCGGGATGCTCTGCTTATTGCCTCGAGCCCAACTTCCTAAACGATCTGCCGAACCCCGCCCCATATAGGTACAGCGGGAACAACTTCGAAGAAATCAGTGTCGCAACAGAAGCGCCTTTCACTGACCGGGATGACGGGGCGTGTTTAATTCTGCTGGTCGGTTGCCAGCTTGCCAACGGCATTGTGAGGATTCCTTGTTCGGAATGCATCGTTTCGATACAGGTGGCCTGCGCGGTGCCCCATTGAAACTGGAGCAAGCAATTGCCATTGCGACTTGTAACCCTTAAGGCGTTTGGGCCCGAAGACCATACTATTTGAGGCTGTTGGGCTGTTTTGATGCCCAGGGTAAGGAGTTTTCTATTTTGGGTTTCAGATCCGCTTTATCTTTGGGCCACCCCGGGAACTGACCCGGGGATTTTCAGAAATCGAGACCCAGGAATACTAGGATCCATATTGTAAATCTTTCTGCAACATCCGATAGCAGTCGTTGAAGCACTTCTAGAACCGCACTGTAAAGCCCACATGAGCCTAAAGACACTCCATAGATGGGTCCAAAGTCGAAAAGTCGAGGGCCAGGGCTTGCTGGGTGCTTGTTACGGAACACGATTACAGGACCTAGAGTAGGCCCTTATTGCCTTTTTTAGGGTTCAAGTTCCCTTATAAGCCCCTTTACACCAAAAGGGGCACCCTTGTTATTCCTAGGTTACTCTAGGGTCTAGCCATAGATGGGTCCAAAGTCGAAAAGTCGAGGGCCAGGGCTTGCTGGGTCCTTGTTACGGAACACGAGTACCTGGACCCCAAAAGTATGTAGAATAATAGCCCTTTATAGGTATTGGGCCACTATTTTACATCCTTCGGGGGTCTAGGTAAGACCTGCCTTGTGAGCGGTTTCCTGGACTTAATGGAAAGGCCTCTCTCCTTCTCGCTGTCTCTTCTCTGTAGTATGGATATCTATAATCAACCCTAAGCCTGACACCCTAAACCTGAAAAGGGCCCTATCTCTTAACCTCAACCTTAAAACCCTCAACCCTGCACTCTAATCTAAACCTCACAAAAAAATTCTAAACCTCAACCTTTAGAATCCCTAAATCCTCAGGTGCCCTTGAAGTGGTGGATTATCGGCTTTGGGGCTTGCTGGCACGTTTTCCTCACGAACCTGATGATCGCGCACTTCTGTGAGTCGCAGCTTGAGCCGAAAGGAGCTTACAGGCTTGGGCTTACCTACAACGGCGTCTTAACAAAGGCTTGGGCTTGTGTACTACGACGTCTTAACAAAGGCTTGGGCTATCTTGGGCTTATGTACTCCGGCGTCTTAACAAAGGGTTGGGCTTATGTACTACGGCGTCTTAACAAAGGCTTGGGCTTATGTACTCCGGCGTCTTAACAAAGGCTTGGGCTTATGTACTACGGCGTCTTAACAAAGGCTTGGGCTTATGTACTCCGGCGTCTTAACAAAGGCTTGGGCTTATGTACTACGGCGTCTTAACAAAGGGTTGGGCTTATGTACTACGGTGTCTTAACAATGGCTTGGGGTTACAGTACGTACTACGGTGTCTTAACAAAGGCTTTCTGCGAGTTTTTTGCAACTAGGACTCGGGCTATGTAACAAGGAAGAAGGAAGGTATAAGGCGGGGGCCGCCTCTGTACCAGTTCTGCGGCTTTCTTCTTCTTGTAATGATGCTGTATACTTTAGGGTTTGGAGGGTCGGGGTTTAAAGGAGAAAGAGTTCAGATTTGGGTACCAGATGGTCGCAGAACTTGGGCGGAAATTAGCGGTTGCATAGGCGCAGGCGCAACTTCGGAGAGGGCCTTGTGACATGGTGATTCCATTGGCTAGACTCAGAAGCCGTGGTGCTTTCCTGTCTCGAAAATCGAAGCCTACCGCCTCATCCGACAACTTCAAGCGGGTTTAGGGTTAGTCCATGCGAGTCCTAGGGTTGGAGGCATAGGAGGTTTCAGGAAGCTGTCAAGCCCGGAACTCTCCGCACCAAGGTATCGTGGAATCTTTCAGGACGCCATGGGCCATGCGCCGCTCGGATCTAAATGATGAGGGATCCTTGGGTCCCAAAGCACCGCACATGCAGGATTATACAATATGGTGATACCCCATACACAGCCTTGGTACTGTAAGGGTTCAAAGTTCAGCGTGAGTTAGGCAATAAGCCTTTTGCCAAACAAGGTAGGGTTTGTCGAGGAAAGGCTGAAGGTTTCCAGGCGTTTCCAACTCGTGAGAGTCTTCCATGTTGGTCCACATAGTTGTATATCAATGGTATAGTACCACATATGTAGCATCTACATAGAGAGCTATATTATGAAATTGCCCGCACGATGTTCTGATGATTGAGGTCGGTGTCTTCGGGCCCCGGGTTCAGACAGCAAAGTCGTGCGAAGTCTATTTGAGTAATGTATATACGGGCTTAAAATATTACCACTACTATATTGAGGGCGTTCCTGATTTTGGTTATAGTTTAACATACTCCAAACCCCTGTTCTAACAATGAAGGCCTCTATGTTGTCCTGCTTTAGGTTTCAGCCGTGGCCTGGATAGAACAGTATTTAGTACGCTTGTGCAATTTCCTTTTTAAGGTTGGCTTTTTGGGTGACTACTTTAGACCCAGGTTGTTTGAGAGGGCAAGGGCGGATGTGGGCCTGATCGGTTGCATCGAAAGAGCACGCTGACGTCGCAGTCTACGCCCTCGATGTTCCTGTGTTCGTTAAATACGCAGATGCAGAATACTTTGGCATTCGTTCTGCCGTCGACTGAAAATTAGTTTGTAGTCGATTTTCTTTGGCCCAATCCTTCAGCAGTTGGTTGTTTATACTGGTTAAGAACCCTATAACGGAGAGGGCACGGAAATACAGAACCCCTCAGCTTTTCTGAACCTTAGAGATTAAGCCCTGAACACTAGGACCTTAACTCCGACAACTCCTTGAATTCTTGACTCTTGACCCGCATAAAACCTGAAGCCTGAAAACATGATGCCGGTCTTCTAGAACTGGCATTGGCAGAGGTGGCTCACCCGCGGCAAAGACATCTTGGAGACGGCCATGCCCTTGATCTCTGCCAAGAAGTGGAAGGTCAAGCTCACAAGCAATGGAAGTCTAGGTTTTGAAGAGTTTAGGGTGACATAAATGATTGAATCTGCATCTAGGAATCATCAGCCCGTACACACTTCCTTCTCCCGTTCGAAAGAAATGAGTTGCCACGTGACATGTGTATCGTCGGCACCAGCACCAGCATGCTGAACATGTCCCATCTGCGTGCAGGCTTCAACAAACGGCTCGCATGGCTTGCAAGGGAGGTCCTTCTCGACGCACGTAAACCCTGTGGCGCAACAGCATGTGTGCATGGCCGCACAGCGCATACTGTATTACTCAACCAATCTGTGCCTGCACTATGGGATGTGTATTTGTATATGCACATGTGTACATCTATACAAGTACAGGTTTGAACGCATACCTCGTGAGCACATACAAATGTGCATACATGACACACGCATGTGTATATATATATATATGTATATACATATATATATATATATATACATATATATATATATATATATATATATATATATCTGTACAAGCATCGTATGTATTTATATATACATATACTTATTTACTTATAGTAGGCGTGTGCATGTGCTCGGACTGCAACAAGGGCACATACATTCTCATCTATGATTAATCATGTGTAGATGCTTATATATACCTGGCACATGTGCTTACGCACATACATACAGACATACGTACATATAAACAGACGGCAGACAGACCGACGGACAGACAGACATCTCCAGTATGCAAGCACCTCTCACCGGGGCCAAGCCCCAAGCTAAAGTCATCGGGTGAGGGAGCTGGGCATAGGAAGACTTCAAAGATAATGAGCTAGCATGAAGCATGACAGTTTTGATTCTTAAACTTGGACTCTGGGCAGGGCTTCAGTCTTAGATTGCTTTCCAAGTTTGGTGCTTGTGGCTGGGCAACTCCCTGTGGACGCAAGTGTGCTCCAGTAATTTGAGTGCCGAACTACGTAGATATCTATGAAAATGTGGTGTTAAGTGCACTGCAGGCAGCGTTGAGGCTTCAAACTCAGGATATTATCTGGAGCTTCTGTCGACATTAGCAACGGTGACACGTCAAACATTCTGGGCATGAACGGTTGTCTAAGCTGTGACCTGATGGCCGTCACACCAAGCGGCCTTTAAGCACATCCCTCTGTCCGGAGGCTTTTGTGGAGTCTCTGAAGCTGGAGGAGACTTATGAGTCAGTCATGTCGGTGCTACAGTCTAGAGTAGCCTTCGGAAGCAAAAGCTGCAGGTGGCTGCCTTTCGAGCTTGCTTCATGCCAACACGAAAGAACCTACAGACGGAGCAGCCCGCACGAATCCACTAGCTCTACTGCTGGAAATGCAACCCCCAACAGTGAATAGCAACATCCTCATAAGCCTAAACCCTAAATCCTATAAACCCTAAACAGTTATAAGGAGGACCTTTGCTTAACAGTACCCTCAACACTTTTGGAAAGCCTGCTGCAACAAGGAGCCATGCGAGTTGGACGAGGGTGATGTCGGGCCTCATGGAGGGGTAGCCACTGTGGAAGGCGGCTAAGTCTATGTAGCCGGGCAACGTAGGCCTGTGACTAGTAGCCCATCTTGTAGGAATAATGGGACTTAGGCTTTAGGTATTATACAAGGTACCACTTAGGTGCTACAGAAAGGATCCTTATATCATGCGTAGAGTCTTCCCTGGCGAGGAAACTCGAAACTCAGAGGTTGCATGGGCTTCACTACGGTCGTGAACGACCTGTTAGGGTGCAGTAGATCAGGAAATCTATTTCATGCCTCTTTTTCAGTGAATGCCCCCTTCCAGCACCACGAGCCCATAGCATGTCACCACCCTAGACGTAGACTGTAAGCCGTAAATCTTGAGCAGTATCAAAGCTAAGCCGAGCGCCACGAGCCCATGAGACCTAAACTATCCTAAACTCCGAACCCGTTTATCTACACAATTGAGATCCTGTCCCGAGCGCAAACCTTAAGACACGACTGTTCTTAGTTCTCAGCCCCTGCCGGCTCCATGCGACTCCATAGCGACTATCGAACCCTATGGATCTATGGATGCCAACGCACAACACCCTATACAGCAACCCCAGCAGACTCCACACGAACTCGTAACACCCGCCAAAACCCCTTGAGGCCCTGCCATTTTTAGATCCAAACTCAACAAAGATGTTGAGTTTTATTCTTGAGGCCACAAACCGCGGCCGACAATACTGAACAGCCCAGATGTAATGGCGACACACCCTGAACACTCGGCATCAAACCCTTAAGCCCAAGATCCCCCTGCCATAAAGCAATCCTTAAGCAGTTCCCTCACCCGATAAGACACCTTCAAAGCTTCATGGAGCACTTCACTGACTAAGCCGTTCAGAACTCTTTCCTACGCTTCAAAAGCCCGAACTGTACAAACCTGTAAGCCCCTATACCACGGCTGGAGATGCCGCAAGGAACCCCAAACCGCAAGCCTGTAAAATCCAAGCCCCAAACCCCCAAACCCGAAGCCCTAAATCCGAACGCAAACACTTAACCCTAGAACCCCAATCCCTACAACCAAGCCCCGAAACCCCAAACCCTCGAGACCATTGTCAAACGTCCTTCCGAACACAAAACCTGCAACCCAAAACCCTGTACATAAGCCCTAAGCGCTGAAAGTATTCCATATCGATCCCTTAAGGGACGTGCGGCGTTGGGTTTTGTTTGCATGGGTTTCTTTAAGGGATCTTTAAACGAGTCTATAAGAGGTTAGGATCACGGCTCTTATGAGGGCTCCTGTACAGGGGAACCCTAGGACCCCATAGTACCCCATTACAGAACCCTATAGTACCCTTAAGCCCTAATCCCTAAACCCCAGGTACCCTTAAAGGCCCCCTTGGAGGAGCCCCGGGACCCTAAGAGCCTTAGAGGAACCCTTACACACCAAACACTAAATCCTAAAACACTACATCCCTTAATCCATTACTCCTAAAGCCTAAATCCCTGAAAGGAGTCCTTAAAGGAATTCACCTTAAAGGAACTCCTTTGAAAGAGCTCCTGAAGATCCCTCGAAGGAGAGCCCTTAATGGAAGTCCTGAACTTACCTTTGGTTAGTAGGGAATGGAAGAATGGCAGGAAGAATATTGTAATTGTACCCCATTCCTCCATTCCCTACTAACCAAAGGTAAGTGAAAGGCCTCATTTTCAATCTCATTTTTATTAGTATTATTACTATTGCTATTTTCAAAGGAGAGCCCTTAAAGAAAGCCCCTTTGAAAGGCCCCTTCGAGCACCTGAAGAGTCCCAGCGTGGAGTTGGACCGCGTGCAGCGCTTCGGCGGCCTCGCCTCCGTGGAGCTCCCCTGGCCCGAGGACGCCAGAACAGCCTTGTCCTTTTTCATGGTTCCCCAAAAAGAATAAACAGACCGGCTAGTAGACCTTCTTCAATATTTCCTGCTTAGGGATATAGGTATGGGGCTCTGTCTATTGTTTCTTAAAGGACAAGGGCGCGCCAGAAGGGGCGGGCGGGGGGTGGACTCCTTTAAGGGATCTTTGTAGGGGGCTCCTTTAAGGGATCTTTGTAGGGTGTAGGGATCTCTTAAAGGATCTTTGTAGGGATCTCTTAAGGGATCTTTATGGGCTCCTTTAAGGTATCTTTATGGGTTCCTTCAATATCCTGGAAGAGCTCTTTTAACGGTGCCATGGGGTTCTATAATAGGGTTCCCCTTTAAGGGATCTTAGGATCTTTCGATTCAGGACAAGAGCGACAACGACGACAGCTCTAACGAAAAGCTTCAAAAGATGACCCGCGCAAGGCCTCCGGGGGCTCGAAGCCCAAAAGGTCCATGTACTCTGGGTGGTTGTCAAAATTATGGTCCCCTTTTTGGGTACCCTAAATAATAGGTGCCGTATTATATTAGGGACCCAACAAGGGACCATAATTTTGACAACCGCTTAGATAATGTAGGAACCTGATTAAGAAACCCTGAGCCTATAATCCCCAAATAGTAGGATTCATACAAGGAGCCCTAATCGAGGCGCAAGGTTTCTTAGTTAGTGTATACGTATACTTTGGCCCTACAGTAGCTTTATAGGGAACACTTTCAGGCCAAAGTATAGACTATTTTGGGTAACTACACGGACCATCAGGGTAGTAAGCCAAGTGGACCGTGAGTAAGAGTTAGACTAGGGGTTCCTTTTGAAGGAACAAATATCGTGGCTGTAAGAACTGGAACTGGGATTCCTCCTTTAAGGGATTACCGCAAGGGTTGCTATGAGGCTTCTGTGATATTAGACTTAGAGCTGGATTCCTTTTTCAAGGTTGTGTTAGAGATGTCTGTAAGAATCACGATATGGGTTTCGCATACAGGCCTGAATACATACAACGAGGCTTTGATAAGGATCCTTTCCAGGCTTTTCGGGTCGTCTAGAGGCAAGGGCCCAGCTTGCTATTGCACTTTTGTTAGAATTGTGGAACTTCTGGGGCATTGCACAGATCCCTGAGACCTTAAACCCCTGATAGAGTGCATGAGAAGCTTTGGCAAGTTCACCCTGATGCTTCTCCCGCAAGCAGCACGGCTCGTGCAAGTACTGGGCCTTCCGGTAGTACCCTTATGCCCTTTTGGCTGGGGTCTCCAAAGTACACTCAACATCAGGAAAAAAGGATACCTGTAGCATTATATCCCCTTGTGAGACCGGAGTGTGGGTTTGAGGCTGGTGGAAGACATAACTGTCTCTGCAGTGGATGTGAGGGCGAAGACCCATAGCTCTTCCTTCGGGATCGTGTTGATTTCAGTTGTGACCGGGATGCGATGTTTCGAGAAGCCCAAAAAGCCTTTTGAACGTAGGGGGTACCGGGGGAACTAAACGACCAAAATGCAACTCCGGAGGTTTGATGAGCAGGACCGCATGCTGAGGGAGATTTGCATCAAGCTGGGCATTCGCGCCTCGGGGACTGGGACCGGGTCCTCTGCTGGATCCATGATGGCCCACTCGCAGGCGGTGTTTACAGGTGTTATAAGCCGTTGGGCTAAAATTGTTTGAAGTAAGGGCTGAGGCACAAGCGACTTTATTCGGTTTGGTAAGGTTTTTGCGGTTTATCATTTCGGGATTTGGGAGGGCTTGCAGTTCTGAACTGCTTGTCCTATGTAAAGAACCTCCAAAACCCAGATCAACCCAAACCTCCAACCCTCCACCCGAAACCCTGAACTAAACCCTAAACCCTAAACCTTAAACCCTAAACCTTAAACCCTAAACCCTTATTTCAGGTGCTGTTCTCGGATTTGTTCGAGAGGTTTCGGCTCCATCTCTTCAGCCTCGACCCCCAACTGTACCCCGAAAGCAGCCTAAGCCCCGCAGCCCTAAAATTGAGTGGCACTTTGGGAGTTGTGTCAAATCTCCGTTATAGGCCTCTTTAGAGGTGCCTATGCATGAAGACTCTCAAAGCCTCATAGCACCCCAGAACAACCCTACACCCCGCGACAGACGTCTGATCGACCTCGGGCGAAACTGGAGGTGGTCGAATCTCGGTGGATGCGTTTTCGTTCAGGGTACATAGGCCCACATTTCATGGCTGAGAGTCTTAAGGTGTATGGTTACTTTTCCAGCACACATTGCACACCTCGGCTCTCCGTGTTACTGTGTCTGTGTTTTCGATGAAGAGACGAACATAGTTACAAGCAGTTTTCAACACTTCAGCACCCTGCAGCCTACAGTTTCTTCCAGGCTTAGGGCCTAGGGTTCAGACGTTGGATTCTGTTTTGCCACTGTTGAATGTGAAGGCCTTGGCTTCAATTTGGGCTGCGATGTCGGTTTTGGAAGCAAGCTTCGCCGCCGTGTACTGCTTTTAGGGTGTAGGTTCAGTGCTTCATAAGCAGTGAATCTTCTGAAACTCGCAATATGTTTGCTTCGAAGCTTTTGGAGTCTAGGCTTTGGGAGTCGTGCTGTGGGTTGTTGGAGTTTCTTGACCATTGCAACACGGGCAGCCTCCTACAGTCCAAGGTCTACAACAGGCTGATGTCCAGGCGGTTGCCTTATGGGTTTTCTTGCTTCTGACATTCGGGTAAAGTACCTTATTTGGGGGTCCTTAGAATAAGGATCCTACTATTTGGGGTACTATATTAGGGTCCCCTATGTTGGGAAACTCCCATTTCCATTTCTGGTGGTCTACAGAAGTCAAAAGAAAATGCGAGCGCCTGAACTTCAGGAGGGCTCTGGCTCCTTTGCGGCGGGAGAAGACACCATTCCTGAAGTTTCCTGGCTGAGTCTGATGAAGGGTCTTGGTTGGATATTGCTTGTATGAGGCCTGTAGTAGTTGCAGTAGTGGCAGCAGCCGTAGTATCGATTGTTGCGGTATGGAGGCCGTACCCAAGGTATTGGCTTGTGGTAGGTTGCTGCACGTCGGCTCTGACTAATCCTGTCGTTACCAAGATATTCGTCAATCTCGAGATTGTGAGCGTTCCGCTCGCTGTGTCGGATTAGAGCTTGTTGTAATTGTTCATGGTTACTGATGGTGATGACGACGACGACGCCGGAGGTGATGCCTGCGTCGGTGACGGTGATGACGTTGTTATTGACGGTGAGTATTATCAGGAGAACCTCAGTTGGGGCCTTCGCAACAGTTGTAACCTGCTCCCAAGTTCCCCTGCCTTTCGAGTACTTGGAGGGTCGGGGGACTTAGTAAGTAGTTAGTTTAGGGACTTATAAGTACCATAACCACAATCAGGGTCCCTTTAAGGGTACTTCTAAGTCTACTTACTACCTATACTTACTAAGTCCCCCTACCTTTCGCGTATCCACACGGTAAAATGGGATGGAATCGACTCTTTTGCAGTGCTCCGACCTGTGAGCTTTGAGCGCCGATGTCCAAAAAACCACTGGGTGGGTAGTTGTCGAAATTATGGCCCTTTTTTGGGGTACCCTAAATATTAGATTAGGTGCCGTATTATAAGAAGGACCCAAAAAGGTACCATATTTTTGATAACCACTAGGTAGTACCATCGAAGCCCAACAGCTATTAAGAGCTCTGCTAAGGGATCGATTCTGTTGAGGCTACGATGGGTTTGGGGTGTATGCCCCTACTAATTCGCAGGACATGTGGGAGTTTCCGAAAATAGGGGACCCTAATATAGTACCCTAAATAGTAGGATCCTTATTATAAGGACCCCAAATAAGGTACCCCTCATTTTCGGAAACTCCCATGTGTGATTTCTCTATAAAGCGAAAGGCCCAGGATGCACGTAAAGGTTCCTCTATACTCAGCTTTTCAAGTCCCTCCACAGAAACCACCGATGTTGCCGGAGACTGGCCGACATACGCTAATGTTGGAAGGGGTCCGTAGACCCTGAGCTCGAAGCCGTAGTTTCTTGTGTTGCTGGCCCACATGCCAAGGACACCAGCGCAGAGCACAGCGATGCCAGTGCCACGGAACCTTTGGTACTTTTGGCGAATGTTTGCTGTTCGGTGAAAACTCTTAAACCTAGGAGTTTACATGTGAAACTACACCCGGCCCAAAACCCTACATGCGTCTTCGTTCCCTGAACTGGGCACCTAAGGAGTTCATGGAGGGAGACCCGAGCCGTCACAACAGCATGCAAAGCCCTCGTAACTGGGGCAGAGGGGGCAGCATGTCGCCTTAGGCCCCACGGTCGACTGCAGCTTGGGAGATGGGTCTAGGGTACTTGCTGATACCACTCCTCAGGGCTCTTTATTTATATCAGATTATAAGTATACAGTATACACTCATCTGCTACAAAACTCGGCTTCTAGTAGTTGAGGCCCTCTGTGGGGCTTTGTGCTTAAGATTTCAGGTTCTGGGTCGGGGTCTTGTGCCATGAGCCGTGTGATGGAGAGTCGCTAGGATCTCACTGGCAGCAAAAAAGTTCCAAGTACCGTTTATTGTTGGTTTAGGGTTGTGGGTTTTGGGTGTCAACTCGTGTCTATCTTCGATCTTCGTAAGCACATACAGTAGAAGGGGCTGTCGCAGCTCAAAACTTCCACATTGATGCGAGTTTTGCCACGTTGGTGCCAGAAGGCCAACAAGACGGAAGGATTCAGTTCTTCGGAGTTTTGGGCACGCGTGAGGTCCAGGGCATTTTGTGGATCCACTGTAGCTGTAGCTGAACATCTTGTTTCGTAAGTTTCCAGGTTCGGCTTGCGATGTAGGAGTTTCCGAAAATTCGGGTGGTAATTACCTTATTTGGGGTCCTTGTAATAAGGATCCCACTATTTAGGGTGCCATATTAGGGTCCCCTATTTTCGGAAACTTCCATGTAGGTATAGTCCATACAGCGCAGCTGTCGTTCGGCTGGAAGGATGATTCCAGCAAAAATTCAATTTTGCAGATGATAGTTCTACGGGTTCTAGAGCAACGGAGCACACCTTTCCCTTTGCAGAGATGGCCTGCATTCGACCCAGTTGTGCCGGTAGCTCATCTGCAGTTTTGGGACCGGAAGGGGACTTCTTGGATCTCCACCTCAAAGGAAAGTTAGCAGCTTGTGTTGGACAACCTCGATTGGTGGTTTAGGTTTCAGGGTGTAGGGGTTTAGGTTTTATGGGTTTAGGTTTTGGGGATTTAGGGTTTAGGAAGCTATACAAGGTAGCCCAGACCAGAAGCTACACTCGAGGCATCGCACGAGAAGTAAGCTACTTGTAGGCTCGGGGAACTTAGTGGTGTCACATGTTCAACCGGTAGGATGCGACCAATTGATACCAGGTTTAGATATGTTTGGGGGATGAGCAGCTCCAGGTATCATTTGCTTGCTAAGTCGCATGGTCCCTTCAAGTACACCGCCAGGAACACCAAGTACGTAAGGCATGCCCTTGATCAATAAACTATGAAAAGGGCGGTCATCAATCAGGGGCCTGCCGTACCCGTGTTCGGAGGTCTCAACGTTCAAAGACTCTTGCGAGTTCAAAGAGGTTCAGAGCTTTTTGAGGGCATTGGTGTGATGGTTTTAGTGTCTTTACAACCCCATTTTGCGGAATGCTTGGATGCCCAAGGTCGGGTTCGAAGCTGTGTTTCGTTCAGATATCAGACATCCAAACACAAAGCATCCCGGAGCTAGCTCTAGACATGTACCCTGAGCATGCCTAAACCCATCAAGCTCATCCGAAGTTCATCAAAAAGCAGACATGCCCTGAACAAATTCCACGACGTTTCTTGCGGTCCGTACCTAAAAATTCGTTCAGCTCCAAGCCACGCGTGGCAGTTGTTGATGAAATTTGGTCTCCGCTAGCAGCGTCTTCGAAGCCTGAAATCCGTAAACCCCTTAAACCATCTAAACCTGGCTATAGCTCCTCGGGTGCCCGAACAACCTAACTCGCAGCTGAAGGGCTCTACGGAGGTTCTGCAGCAGTTGTTGAAGCACTAACCACTACCCGCCAAATCCAGCACCCTAATCCCAAAGCCGTAGGCAAATGCCAGGTTCCCACTAAATTAATTCTAAATCCAAAAAGCTTCAGCTGTCACGGGCCCCTCTAACCCCTCAAGTCCGAAGCCCCAAAACGAAATGAACTCTGAACCCTGGTTGTTGCCGGCTGCTAGTGGAGAGCCAGATGACGAGTCTGTAGGCCGCGACTTCTCTCAGAAACGTTTCAGTCCGTGCCGGGGACAGCACGCAGGACAGACTCCCAGGGCTTAGCCATTACAGCGTTCAGGGTTTAGGGCTTGAAGGGTTTAGGGGTTTAGGGTTTAGGCTGCAAGAAGCCTGTGGTTCAGTTCAGGGCTCCGAATGAGATTCTACTCTCGTACAGGTGTTTTGGAGCGAGAAACCCTGTAATGGGAGTTTCCGAAAATAGGGGACCCTAAAATAGTACCCGAAATATTAGGATCCTTATTTTAAGGACCCCAAAATAAGGTACCCCTAATTTTCGGAAACTCCCGCAATTGCAAGGTGTTGCATGCAGTGGCAGCTCAAGCGCGTAATTGCTCACGAGATCAGACCAGACCATGGACCTAGTTCGCTTAAGTCTAAGGGTCTAAGGGTCCATGTACCCAAATAACACATGCTTTGGCCATAGAGTATTTCATATAGTGACAGCAAGGCGAATGTGTGTGTGTGTATATATATATATATAGTCGATTTGGGCACATGGACCATCATGGACCCGTCGGGTAAGTCTAAGCGGCGTTTCACCATTGCTTGTTTTTACATGCTGACAGCCAGGATAATCTTCGTAACCACGGATTCCTACTAAACCCTAAACCCGAAAGCTTTTAGCGTCTTGTCTGTGGCCACCGCGAGTACCGTCTCGCGACCATCACCATCGCAGAAGTAGCACCATCACCTTCCACTCAGCAGCACCGTCCTTTGAGCCATCGTCGAAAGTTATCTACGCCCTGAGCTTTGCATTGGGATATTCGTGGCTTCAGTATCCTACGGTCATGCTAAGGACCGAAATTAAACGTGGTTCGGCTACTTCTCAGATCTTCGATTGTCTCATCTGTTTGTGCTGTCAGGTTCTAGTCCTACTTGAAGATGCTGATGGTCAAACTTAGTAGCAGTAACAAGAACCAGCAGCACTTCGTTGGAATCGGTTCCATGGTGAGCAGCACTGCGTTTTTCTGTTCCCACTGCCGCGGAGCGTGGTGCCTGGAGGCAACGGCATGCTTTTTTTAACCGCTCGCCACGGTGAAGGAGATGTACAGAGTGGCATATCTGTTTTGCAAGCTTTATCACGTTCCTAGGGTGACCACTGCCTTAGGAAACGATGAATCGCAACTGCATTGGCAAGGATACAGAAACCTGCAATCCTTTAGCTTTGCAGTTTGCATTTCGGCTTTCTGACATGCTGTTGGGCAGGCAAAAACTCAAGACCCTTGCCGTATCTAGGCCTCGGACTTTACAAAGACATGGACACCGGCTTTTGGATAAGCTCGTAATTTGGGATACAGTTTGATATCGCCTATGGTCACGTACAAAGGGTACACCCATTCATACAAAGTTCTGGGGGGCTCTGAATTGCAACGCACAAAAAGCCCAGCAAATTTCACAGCCGACCCGCTAACATCGCACAGATGACTACGCAGGTTTGCTAGGGGCAGCTGCCTTGTTTCTGCGGTTAATATGGGCGCCTGAATTACCAATACTATTTTGGGGATTCCTTACTATAAATATAGTATAATGGGCCCCAGAACCCATTCTAATTGCACAGGCCCCGATAGTAGGGTTTAGGTTTTAGGGTGGGCCGTGCTTGCTCCGGTCCAATCAAGCCTGTGTGAAAAGGGCTTGCTTGTCGCCCAATCCCAAACTGTGAACCCGCAAAAAAATGCACTTTGTGATGGAATAGCCTTAAACCTTAAACCCTAAACCCTAGCCCGATTAGGACGGAAAAAGCCCTAGCCCGATCCTTCAGAGGAAGGCAGCATGCTAGAAGGGAAATCATCTCGGGGAGCGCGGTGGACTATAATGCGCTCCGCACACTCCGCCCCGTGCACTGCATCGCATAATTGGCTGTTATCTTTATCTGGGATGGCGTCGTTGAACTGCAAATTCAGCCTTCTAGTTCCTTTATCGCTTTGAAAATTTCAAGATTGTGGACCATAAGCCAGAATATCCCGAACAGGGATTGCAACTCACTGACATGGGTATCGTGTTTTTTTCTCTGACCTTGGGTTCAATACATTCGCATTAGGTTTCAGGCTATTCCGTTGATGCAGAATGTCGACTCCTGGTCAGTAAAGCACCTCTTTCCTGGAGGGCCTTTTCATGTGGGAGTTTCCGAAAATTAAGGGTACCTTATTTTGGGGTACCTATAATAAGGATCCTACTATTCAGGATACTATATTTGGATCCCCTATTTTCGGAAACTCCCATGTTGATTGAATACACAATCCCTTTTAAGGTAGGCAGTGTTATTGTCCTAAGGGTCTACATCAGTTCACACCTCTGGTTAACAAACCCCTCCCGGCCCCTCCCTCGATTCCATTGCTATGAGGCTTGTAACAGATCCGCCATGATTCTACATTACCCTAGGCCCACGACTTACAACCTGCGAAGAGGCCTAAAAAGGCCTAAAGTAGCAGTTAGCTGATTGTAACCTCAGGTCCTGTTCAACTTATCGTGGCCTCGTTTAGATTCAGTCACCAAGGCAAAGCAACTGTCAAAATCTGAATCGCGCATCGCTTGTTATGCTGCGCTTGTGCGTTCCTTGAAGAGGTAGGATATTGGGGCTACAGGAAAACAGACTCATGGAAACCCGACAGCCCAACCTAGGGGCTGGAAGAGTAAGTCACATGTGAGCCCGTACATGTTGAGAGCATAAAAAGCTCAGTGCCCTGGGCCCAAGTCGAACTGTTCACACCCCTATCGTGGAGGGCTTTTCGTAGCAGATCGTGGTATTGCTTAGGGGCCTTTTAGGGGCGTTTACAGGGTTCTATGTGCTTCTCAGTGAACCGTATGGGCAGGGTATGGGGAACGATCAGCAATTTGACTGCATCCCTGTCGCTACGATTTTTGTCGGTTGCCTGCTGTAGGCTACAAGGAACAACGCCATGTGTCTCGAAGGGACTGCCCAGAAGGTGACCCAGCGAATCATGGCTGTCACGGAGACCCGCGTGCCTAGTGACACGCTCGCACTTCATGGTGGTTTCTGGGCCAGGAGTGTCGCACATGTTCCTCTTTCTGGCCCTGGCGGACAAAAGCCGAACCAGCAAGACAAAAGCCACTCCAGACGGATGAGGAGAACAGCGTCTTGGGATTTCTTGAAGAGTCCATAGACTTCTTTGTTCAACGTCATGGTGAGCTAGGACCCTGCTTTCCATTATCAACAGGGCCTGAGTGAAAAGTCCACACGCGACACTCCAAAAAGCTACCTAAACCTAAACCCCTGCATCTAAGCACAAGTCTGAAAAACCTGAGCATCCGCAGAAGTTTTGGCCTCAGCGAAAGGGTCAACCAATTGGTTTGATGCCTGCTGTCAGCCATGACTTTGCTTTTCGCCCCTCCGTGCACCATAAAAGTCTACCCCCATCCCTACACAGAATTTTCAGGGTCAAGAGCTCTATCAAACACCAAGCCGTCGAGACTACGCACCAGGAAGTCTGCCTGTCATATTCGGGCTTAGTAGGTTTAGAACTTACTCGTTTCTTCAGGGCCTGAGAGCTGAGGTTCGCAGCATGTTTTATTGTGTTTGAGCCTCTTTCGGGTTCGAACAGTGTTCCTTTGGCCTTTGAAGTTTGGGCTTGCCTTTTTTTGGTTTCTTTGTTAAAAGGCGCAGCCCGCGGCGAAATTAATCGAGTCGCAATGGCCCGCCTCAGAAGCTGCTTGGGCCTTCTGACCTTCATCGCCCTCACATGGACTGGGCTCTTACATCAAAAGCAGTTGAATCGAAGTGTTCAGGTAACCAACAAGTGAAGTAACTAACTCGACTCATTCTGATAACAAGGATCCGGAAAAGGTAGAATCGATGCATCAGGGTAACTCAACCTGTATGGGCCCTCACATGGTTGAAAGAGTACTCCAAGGGCTCCTTTAAAGGATACCCTAAGGGTGTCAGATTTTGGGGGGGAGGGCTGGCTTCGGGTTTGAGGGACGCTCATCGTCCTCACGTTGGCACTTGGGCTGCTGGGTTTCCCTTACGGTTTAGGGCTTAAGGTAGAAGCCAGAAAGTTGAAATTTAATTATCCTAACCCTTCTATGGTAAATTATAGTGTATCCTACCATGAAACCATATTCCAACTTTCTGGAGTTCCCTGTAGGGTTTAGGACTTAGGGATATGTGGCTATTCAGGGCTTCGTATTGAAACCCGTTGCCCATACCCGAAGTGTTAGTTGCTTGTCCCTTCTACAGATTCTACAGCATGTCCGAGCTTCTGAAACTTCTTCAGCCACATCGCACCTGGCTTCTCCAGAAGGAGCACTCATCTCTTACAGCTGCAATGGACTGGCACAGTAGAACCCAATACTTTTCCGAGCAGATTCCCGCAAGCCTTGAACTTGCAAATGCTGCAGCTCACAAAACCCATGTCCATGTCCTGGAAGGAAGAAGGCACGACCTAGCCGCCTATCCCTGGTGCCCATCATCACCTTGTAAGGGTACATATGCAGGGAATGTTGTGTTGGTAGGTGGCCTCGGAGCTTTTACACTTTCAGTCGTGACTTCTCCACCTGTGTTCAACAGTCGGAACCCCATGGGTCTAACACTTCATGCTTTGCGCATGGATAAGTATAGGAACGAAAGTTGCAACCTGGGGGTCTTGAAACCAAGTCAACATCACAAATTGCTTGTCACCCGGCAGTCCAACAGCACCTCCCTGTAGAGGGGGGTACCTTCAATGAGCTGGAAGACCCCTTCATTAATCAAGGCATTTTACGCAAAGTAAACCCTCATAACCAGCCCCTAGCTGTAGTCTCCACTGTACTCCTTTTTATTTCTTGGGCCGAAACATATACTTAGTTAAGCCAACAAAGGGACTACAATGGAGACATGTTGTAGGTAGTGTTCAAATTTGTCGCAGAAGGAGTGTCACCTGCTTCGTCTTTCCTACCTTGCCACGAAGCTTGGACCTGCTGACGCTGAGGATCGGATCCGTCGGCTGTAGTTTGCGCTTAGATTGCTTTCATGAAGGACCTCTTCTAGAATTCTAGAGTTTGAGGACTATATCCATTGAGGGAGGTGTGTGGTTGCGAGCCAGGCGCCTGCTCCCCTGCAACATCCGAACGAAGAGAGAACTCGTGCCGTCGGAAAGGTGGATCTGCCCATCCCTGCTGACTTTGGCACCCCAAGCAGCACAGGCAGCGGATGGGAGAGAGCACAGGGCTTCCGCATTTCTTAAGCAGTCTGGGTTTAGGGGGTTGGGGTTTAGGGTATTCAACCCTACGTGGGCATTCAGGGTCTCGGGTTTCTAACCGACGTCAGTGTACAGTAGCCTGTCTAGTTGAAATCACGCAACCATGCCGTGCATAGTTTACGGTTGATTCCTGATGCAATGGGTCATTGGGCCTGCTGGGTCGCTTTCGATGCCTACGACACCTTCAGCTGAGCTGACTCATGCAAGGCTAACACTTGTGCACTTTGAACATGGAGTTTATCTCCATTGAATCACCAAGTTCATCAACGGTTTCAGCGTTTCGCTTTGGGTTCCTCTGGGTTGGCGAGGATTTCCTGGAAGGGCCAGCAGAAATTGCCCATATGGGTGGAAAAGCCCCTACACCCTAAACCGGGGCTTTCGGCCCGGGACGGCTTTCGACTTCGAATCATTTAGGCCGTGAGGCTCCAGGTGCCCATGATTGGAGCCCAACAAATATGTCATGACATTTCGTGGTCGTGGTTCCCTAATGTAGTCACGATAGTTGTAACAAGTGCATTTTGAGTCTCGACCGAAAACCGAAAATAGTCTAATTGCTTCGGTCAAGTAGGTCTCTATACGATAGAACTTATGCCATGCAGTCCTTGGGCATCAAATACTGTATGTATGTATCTTGTATGAATGTATGTATGTATGTATGTATGCGTGTTTGTCTGTCTGTCTGTCTGTCTGTCTGTCTGTCTGTCTGTCTGTCTGTCTGTCTGTCTGTCTGTCTGTCTGTCTGTCTGTCTGTCTGTTTGACTGTATGTATGTATGTATGCATGTGTGTATGTATGTGTATATGTATGTATGTATGTATGTGCTTTACAATCTTTTTGTTTATTAACTTGTCCATTGCTTTATTTGTTCATTTGTGTCTGTGTGTATGTGTATGTGTGCATACATACGTATGTATATATATATACATACATACATACATAGACACTATACCGGCGCATGAACTCTTAAAGGGAGACCTTCAGCTCGGCAGGCCCTGAACCGTTCAGGATTTCAGGTCTTCATAGGGCCGGGTTGGAGAGTTTGGGGTCTTGCAACCCCAGAAAAATCCTAAACCGCAATTTCGCAAGGGTTTTAAGGCTTCGGATTTCGGCATTGGGGGTTCATGGGTTACGCAAGACTTTAGATTCAGTGTAAGGTTCAGGGTTTTGGGGTTTAAGATTTCTGGGTCTTATATGGGTGGAGGACCTGGCTTTACATCACATTTGCCAGGCGGCAGCGCCCGATCAATTTGACTCCGCTGGGCAGCTTGGCGCTTTGTATCCGAGAAAAGAGGAAGGGAAGGGGTCTCCAAAATCGCCTGCACGCGACCCTATAAACCCTAATCCAAAGCTCAGTGGAGGGTGCAGAATGTTGCAGATAGAGTGCATACACTGCGGGCACTGCTTTAGCACACAATCCTTCCACCGTAACCTGTGCATGTTGTTTAAGTCGAAAAGGATGAACCTAAGACAGGCCACAGGAATTAAATATTCTTCCCGGCGTTCCGCCCTAATCCAGACCTACCCAGCTGGAAGCGCGCAGTGTCAGTGAGGTAGGGTCATCTCTAGTAGGGTTTTGGGTTCAGGTAAGTGTATATAGGCCTCCTTTGGAATACAGGTGCATGCATGCTGATCAAACATTTTTGCACGGCACCTCAGACTGTTCTACAAGCGTTATTTGCAGGCTCTTTATAAGGGGGGTTCCCAGGATATACTGGTGTCGTTAACACTTGGACCCTTCAACAGACAAGCCCTGAGCCTTGAACCCGACACCCTGATCCCTGCACCCCTCTTTTCGCTCCTGTTGCTCAGGCTAGCGCAGGTAGCCTTACTACTACTTCTGCTCTTCTTGGGGGTGGCCGTCTTCACTTTCGCCAAGCCGGAAGAAGAGGAGCGCCTCCTTACACTTTTCAGCTGGTGCCCTAAGACTCCATGTGCCCATATAGTAGGTACTTAGGCCTTAAAGGGGTCCCTATATAGGTACTTTAAGGCCTACGGTTGATGATATAAATCCTGCATTACCTTATATGACCCTAAACTATGGGAATTATGGTATATTCCTTATTATGGGTCATGCAGGATTTATATCATCAACCCCTAAACCCTAAACCCCTAAACCCTAAACCCTAAACCCTAAACCCTAAACCTATATACTATCTGGGTACATGGAGCCTTAAAGGGGTGCCGGTTGTGATGCGAGGGCCGAGGCCCTGAGGTTTTCTTAGGGCCTCAACTCTCGGTGTCATGGAAGTAGGTGGGTTTAGGGTTTAGGGTTTAGGGTTTAGGGTTTAGGGTTTAGGGTTTAGGGTTTAGGGCTGCTGGACAACGAGGCCTGCTGCAAAAAGGGTTTAGGGTTTAGGGGCATGTATTCCTGAAGGCACAGGCATCCGAATATAGATGCCCCTGAAAAGGGGGGGGGATGATTAAGAGAGCTGGTCCCGGGAGGAATGAGTGGGACCTGGCTTCTGCAACAGTTCTGAGCCGGGGCACCTCCAAGCTCCAACCACGCTCGGGTCGTCGTATTGGGGCCTTGATCGTTCGAATAGGTTTCCTTTAGAAAGATTCTTCAAAGAGCTCTACCAGGGCTCGATGGTGGGATTCGAGGGTCTGGGGGCCCTGGGGTTTCTTAAACGGGCCCCTGATAAGTACCACATGGACAGTAAGGTTAGAACCTCATCGCCAGGATTGGCAGAAGGAGATTGATGCTGTGATGACAGAAGAGGCAGTGCTTGCCGTGGGCCCGCATGGGACTATGTAGGCCTCGTATGGAAGAGCTATAAGATTTCCCCGTGCGCTAGGATTGTTGTGGCCACAGTACACAGAACCAGGAAGTTCCGTCTCCACCCTCAGCACTAATTTCGATGGCGCTCCAGCCTTGAACCCTGCAAACCCAAAGCTGTTTTAGGCCAGGGCATGGCGTTGATCCAGCCTTGGTTGTCGGATGCACACCGCAGGAGTTTTTGCTGTGGAGCTCGAGAATTGTGAGCAGCCAGAAACCGATGCAACTTCTAGACTTCTGTCATGTCCCGAGACACCACTTCTGCTTGACAGGCTTCCAAGCCAGCAGAGTGCAGGTTGTTGACTACACCAAAAGCCCGAGACCCTGAACAGCCCAAAGTGGCAGGAATGGAAACGCAGTGATGGGCCGTCGATTTGCCAGCAGCTTGCTTGTACAATACATCGGGACAGAGAAAGGCCCCAGGGTGGGTTTCGATGCGGCTGCTACGTTGCGAACATGCTTTCTTGAGACCCAATCTATCCCATGTCCCGTGTATTTGCAGCATGTGCCTATATTTACGTGGGAACATATATGTTTATACAGATGGTAATCCAAGTGTTTTTCCCATCTTAGTGTGTACACTACTATAGGCGCGCACACACACAACACATGTGCAGAGGGCTTGTTGCGATTTGTTGACTGGTTTCCTTTCGGCTTGGAAGTTGAATGCTTTAACAAATCCGGAAAGGGGGTCGCAGGAGCTTACGGGCTTGAGCGCTTGATAGTTTCAATCGGGCTTCGTAGCTCGGAGCGGGCATGGGGAGCACCATGAAAGTAACCTTCATTGTGGCATGGAGGCAAGTGCTCCGCCCAGATGACTGCCTGTTAGGTGGCTGCTGTCTTACAGTTCCTTTCCGTGTGGTCTGAGAGTGTTGCTCTTCTCAGTCTTTGGGGGGCCTGATTGAGGGTCCAGGGCATTTGGCGTTTATGAGGTTCGGAAGGGGATCGGGTTTTCGGCTGCACCGTAGTCCACCATTTTGCCGGTGTGAGCTGCGAGCAGCTGAGGAGGTGCGGGATGCTCATTTTGCAGGGCTATTGCCTCTTGGACGCACTGCTCATCCGCACGTGCCTGTAGCAGCAACCGTTGTCGTCCTGCCTGCCACGTTCTCATGCTTCGTCGCAGCATGACATATAGTTCCTTATCCGACATTCTTTTGACACGTGAGTCTGTGCATTTCCCATTTCCTACCCATTCAGTTCTCCGAGACGTCTTTCGGCAAGGGCATATGGCGTACGGGCCATCGGATTCCAAGGCCAAGAGCTCGGAAGGACAACATCTCGGATCCCAAGCCATCGCACGAGTCTGCCACAACCAGAAGGATTATCGGCTTCCCCAGAGAGCCCCTTAATTAAGGAATATGGCTTAAATTATATAGGGCCTCATATTATGATTAAAGCTATATTCCTTATTTAGGGGGTATTGGGCTCTCTGGGTCGCTAGACTCGATAGATTTGCCATGTGCTGCCGTATCGGTACCCTGAAATGACTCCCCCGACTGAAGCCATGGGTGCTACAACCCCGGCCGAGGTCAAAATTGCAGCGGCTGGAGATTCTGAGGGAGGGGCCGCAAGGGTTTCTTGCCGGGCGTTCTACGTAATGATCCACCCTTCGGGCCTTCTCACATACAATAGGTACAAGCAGCACTGACCACATAAATGTACTCCATGACCCGGACATATAGTACCAAAACACAACACATGCGCGGGAGCCTTTAACTTATGAATTCCATCAGCGGTATCGGCGAAGGTCACCAGAATAACGGATTACATAACCTCAAGCTAGACCTGATGCCGTGATCTTCCGTACAACAGAGCAACTGGCAAGCCTCGGCCGTGCCTGGAAAGGCATTTAGGTTGAGCAGAGCAACTGTTGGGTTTGGGGTTCAGGATATATAGCGCGTGACAGTTGACCATATTCGGGGCATTAAGATTGAATATTAGTTTGCTTCAGACGCACATGTAGTCACAGGTGTAGCAGTGTAGCAGAATTGTTCTTTGAAGCTTTGTGGCCTGTACAGTAAACTTTAAGTACTGGCTTGTACTGTTGCATTCTCTAGGGGTTTTGTGCGATGTCTTTCCGGTGGAACAGCCGGGATTGACCACCTTCGTTGGACAACTTGGCGTTATTTGACTCATGTGAAGGCCCCGAGCTTACATCTTAGATAGTCTTTCTTTGGCATGTTGATGACCCGCTGGGTTTCTTACTTTGGATGTAGTGGGTATGGAGATTGGTTGACTGGCAGTGTACGGCAGACACCTAGAGGGAATGCTTGTTGAGGATGTAGGCCTCGACTGCTTCAGTGCTTGGAGTCTACGCCGGCAGTAAAATGAATGTGCCCCTAAACTACAGTGCCCGCCTGTGGAGGTTCGCTCGGATAGCCTTGGCCTCGCACATTTCACGTTTACTTTTCGAGCCTCGGACGTGTGGCTCCCAGTTTCGATGTCTCCCGAGCTACAAAAGTAGCTTCTGGAGCCACCTGCAGAACTCCAGCGAAAAGGTGAACGAAGCCTGGAGCTTTCAGTTCCCACAGTAGCCGTAGCTCCACATTGACGTGAAGACTGGTGTTTCCAACTCGAGGATGCCTCTTTTCATGATTTCAGGGCTGTTCCGTAGATAAGGGGCATTGGGTTTTCTGATTTTTCCCGCTCAATCCTTCAGAAGCTTTTTCTTCGGGGGCTCAGACTGCCTGTGGCTTCAGGTGCTCAGGGATTTGGCAATTCAAGGTTTACGGTCTGCTGGGTATGTCAAGTTTTGGGCGACCGTGGCCGTAGCAACTACAAGGGCCCGCATGGCGCGCACGTAGGGTAGAGTCCACTCATGTCGACCCCTGATGCACGAACCCGACTCCCTTACGGAGCACCCTCGGTTGATTAGTGTAACCCATTTGCAACAAGGAGACAACTCCAACTTCAGGACTCGTGACATTACCGTGCCATTCGTGGTCTTCGCGGGGGGCAGATTTCAACCCTTGCAGCCAAAACTTGCAACTTCTTGGGGCATTGTTAGCCCCCGAAGCTTTGTTTCCACATACCGGCGGCCGACGTCAGAAACACTTCCGTGCGAGATGAGCCAGCAGCCATCTGGGTTATGGCACGCGTGAATGTCATCGAGCATGCATGGTGAAGCTCGAAAGCCTGGACACTACGTCACAATCCACCTCAAATGCAGGTGATCTCATGCTTAAACGAAGCAGCCTTGACTTGATGTGTGCGTAACACTTCCGTCCTCTTCATGGCGTCATGGGAGGTGCCGTGCTTAAATAATTATCGATACAAAGAGTGTGCAACGGTTATCCCGGAATGCCGCATTAAGTTCTGCAGTTCTGGGTTTGATTAGGGTCGGATACAAGGCCGGAAGACTACAGAATCCTGTGCCCTCATCGTTCCAATCTTCATTCTTGTCTGCTTGGTTGGGTTGTCCCATAAATTATAGCCCTTCTTATGCCCGACTTAATGTTGACTTCCTATTAGTACCCGACCCCCCCCCCCCTTCCCCCTTGATTGTTTGCTGGCCCCGGCTGGGGGGGATTGACTATTGAGGGGGGTCCGTCGGCGCTTGGTTTCTAAAGCTTGCGGTCATTTTCCTGGCCTCTAAAGGCACAAGAAGCAGCTACATTTTTTAGGGGGTGCCCGGCTGGGGGTTTCGTAATTGAGGGGGGGTTTATAATTGAGTTCCGGGGGTGGGGTTTTGTAATTGAGGGGGGGAGTTACAAATATGAAGTCAACATTGCTAAGTTCCCTGGCCCCCAAGCAATACTCCTAAACCCTGTTTTAACTCTTCAGGCATCTTAGGGCTTACGAGCTTGTGCCATACTTGTCATGATCCAGATTTGCTTGGGTTCTTCGTCGTTTCTCGGTGCCCAAACCCCGAACAACTTAATCCCTGAACCCTAACAAAGCTTGAACCCCAAAAACCTATGTGTGCTGAACTTTGATCCCTGGACCCCTAGACCCTAAGCCTCTGCAAAATGGCCAAAACGAACCCAAAAGCCCTTCAGCTGCTCTGCATTCCTAGTCTGCTGCTATTTGGGGTTACCCTGCAATGCAGGCTCGTCCTTGCTATTTAGGAGGAGAAATAGCCCCTCAGACGACGGCTCTCAGTATCTTCGATCTTACTTTTCGCTTTGGAGTCTTACTAAGGCATCTCAGTTAAGTTACAGGCTTCAGGTCTAGGGTTTCTGTTTTCAGGGTTTAGGCCTTTAGGGCTTAGGAGTTAACGGCTTCGGGTCCCAGGTTTCGGGGTTTCGCGGTTTAGGGCTTTCGGCTTTAAGCTTTTAGGTCTTGACGGGCTTACCCTGGGGATCAAACAGCCCAAAAGCCTTCTATAGTAAGTTGTTTGGGCCCAAAAGCCTTAATATATGAGTCCTTAGATCCCTAGGGGTGTAGGGTTTGGGGTTCTTGGGTCAATTTGCCGGGCGGGGGGGGGGTTGTCAAGGCTTTAGCCTTTCGGGCTTGGGGTCTGGGAGACGGCAGGCAAAGTGTGTCATAAGCATTCTATACGGATATCATATATCCCTACCTTATTGGGCTTCATTCTCAGGGGTTTATACGGGATATCCCTATACTTATTCTTTGCTTATGTGCTTGTTTTGGGGGCCTAAGTAAAGGGTTGCGTTCTTCTGGTTGGCTCTTAGGACTTTAATTTTTTGGGTTTCTATATGGACTCAAATAAGTAGGCTAAAAGCTTACAACTTTTAGGAGGGGTTCAGAAGTCGGCCAAGGGCTTCTTTTGCGGCTTTCTATGGATTATTGTGCTTTAGGGCTTAGGGTTGCGGAGGTCCATCTTCAAGCCTCAGCACGCAAGCCGGCCCAGCGGCCCTCAAGTTTGCAAAAATTCAATCCTAAACTTAGTAGCTGAGTGGATACACTTTACACTTTTTGGGATAATATTACCCACTATAGAACAAAAAGTGTACACTTGTAAGTAAAACCTCAGAGCCTCAACCCGTCAACTTCGACCTTAAACCCTTCAGCCCCTCAACCCCAAGCCCTAAACCTTCATAGGACCAAAAGAAGAACCCCCGACAACACCCAGGCAGAAGCTTTAGAGTTTAGCGCTTGAGGTATGAAATTCTAGAAGCCCTTCTGAGCTCTGAGCCCCTCCACTCCAACACCAGAGCGTTGCCAGGTGGTTGGAGGTGCACGCCTTTTTGGGAAGCACAATGATCTATGCAGACGACTGCCTTCGCAGCCGATATGAAGAAATCTCTGTGGCTGTCGTAGTGTAAAGAGCATATACAACTTTAGTACCATCAAAGGCTTACTGCAGTGGTGAAGCACAGATAGCCAGCCCTAAGTAGCTATAGTATGGCAGTTTATCAATGGCAAATTAAATATCAGATGCCGGAGTGCAGTCGCTGTGTCTTGTGTGGAGGTCTGGGCTTCTATGGTAAGTTGGGCTTTATGCACGGGGCACCCCGAAGAGCGAGTAAGGACCTGGTTGAGCAGAGACCGCATGTCAAGGACGACTCAATTTAGTCATTAGACCTGAAATGGTGGCAGTTGGATTTCGGAGGTTTGGCAGTGTTTCTGGGACCGCTCCGGGTCATGCAGGTTCACCATCGCTCTTTGTAGGGTTGTTTGTGCAGCTCTGGGTTTGGACCGCTTGCGGTGCAACCTGCCCGAACATGCCATACCATGAGTGTGACGTGCAAGCAACGTACAAAGGGGAAGTCCTAGAAACAAAACGAATAGGTCCTGCTGTAGACGCCGTAGCTTGTATCAGCCGGAAGTACTGTACGTAGCGCAAGCCAGACATCCAACAAAACTTAGCTGGACCAGCACGTAGCATGTTCATACGGCACGTGCGTTTCACAACCCCAAGGTGAAGTAGACGTATCTCCAAACCAAAGAAGTCAGCATCCTGTGAATTCCCAAAAGTGGTTCTGAACGTGCAGAGCCTTGAACCCTAAACCCTTAACCCTTAACCCCAACACCACAGCCAAAGCCCGAGCATCCCAAGCCCAAACGGCATGAAGCCCTGATTACGCATAGAAAAACGCCGGATGTCCTATTGAGGACTCACCAACATAATATCATTGTCTATCAGGAGCATCTATGACAAAATGTAGTGGGGGATGACCCCCTAAAAGTAGCTTTCTCAGGCCAATCCTCGAGCCCCAGGTCCTGTAACGGGAACTCCAGAAAGTTGGAATATGGTTTCATGGTAGGATACCTTATAATTTATATACCATAGAAGGGTTAGGATAATCATATTCCAACGTTCTGGCTTTTACCTTATAGCGTAAGAGGTGAGCCCCTGTTTTTGTTTTGGAGGGGGGGGAACCCTTAAGCCTGAACCTTATACCACATAAGAGCTAAATCCCTAAACCCTCCTTCAAAGCCCGAAGCCCTAAACTGCCAGCCCTGTGAACCTTATGAGCCCAAACCCCTAAACGGTCTACCTAAACTCTAAACCTTATAAAATACCCCTTTTCAACCCCACACCCTAAACGGTATACCTAAACCCTAAACCTAAAATAAGTCTAGAGACCCTGTAAACCCTACACCTTATACTATATGTACCGATAAGCTGAGTTGCTTTCTGAATCCCGAAG